AGTTACTTTTCTCGTTACTTCGATGATCAAATACACAACTGCTTTTGTTTCTTGGTTTATTGTTTTCCTTTCAGTAGACGTTGCACTTAAACCAGTAGCTGCCTCTTCGTTTTCATCAGTCATATTTCCCCGCTTCCTTGCGAATACGTCTCCATCGATGCTGAAGAGTCCTATACTGACGCGCTCGAAGTAACGGCAGTGTTGTGCTCCAGGAAGATCTTGAATTTGGGATTCCCCTCCCTCTTTTGCGCTTTCTGCTTCTAAAGATCCAAGTTGACAATGGGATATGCGCCTTCCCGTGTTCGCAACCTCCGGGTTTTCATTCGACCAGTGCACGATTCTAGAAGGTTCAACCAACGAAACTTATCTGTTCGCCGGGTGAAGGACATTCCCAGCTGTAGAGCTCGACCGTCGACTTCAGCGATAAAGGTTGCTATACTGTCACACTGTTGAGTTATTTTGCGGGTTGCCCATCTGCCTTTGTCGCCATAGGCGAATACTCCGGTTTGAATTAAAACGAGGTCGTCTAAACGGTGTTGAACAAGTTACTCCTCAAAAGTAACAAAATACCGTTACTCGTTCCTTGGCCCTAAAAGTAACTAAGTACGTTACTCGCTCGTTTTCTAAAAGGTAACTAAAGACGTTACTTGTTACCGAAAAAGTAACTAAACAGAAGTAACTCCTTGCTGGTAACGTGTTACGTACACGTCTGAGTGTACGCCTCCACACCGATTCGTCGTCGCCATTTCGTGCTACACATAGATGTAAAATACACTTATTTGTTGCATTATTACGGATCTGTCTCCATGTCGTCGCCGCCATTTGTTTAGTCAAAACTGAGGCGCTGACGCAACCGTCGCGAATATTTAATTAACTTCCCGCCACCACCACCAAGAGGGTGCGGCTCACATTTTATTACGCTGAACCTGTTGCCAAACTGGTAACCGCCACAGGGGATTGCGGCTCTGTTCCGATTCAGGTTCAATATCGAACGATTGATATCAGTTACAGTTTTGTTCCGGTTCAGCTAAAAATAACAGTTCTGCTCCGGTTTGCGGTTCGGGTTCGCTTGGACACCATGGTTAAAAGAATCGCGCATGATTACAACAGCCGCTTTGACGCGTCTCGCGGCGCCATGAACGACGCCTTGTCCGTCTGCAACTATTCAGTTTTGGTTGCTTCACCGAGGATGCGCCATTTTCATCCTCGAAGGAGCATTAGCCAGTGACACAATGAAGCCGTCAGTCACCTCCAGTGCAATGATGCCGTTTCAAAAGCAACTTAACATGCGCTAGAAAATTGCGCCATCAGCCCGTAGGCCCTATGAAAATCGACACAGTCGCATAAGAAGTGAGCCCATTCCATTCCCACTCTATTCGGGAGTCGCACAAGTGTGGAATGATTCCGGAATGATTCTGGAATCATTCCAACTTCGGAGTGCCAACTACGCAGCGTTGGTGAGAACGGTAGTCTTGCTTGCAGAACGGTAAAATCACTGTTTGCTCGGAAGGCAAGAGACTTACGCCTCTCAGGCACTTTCCAGCAGTAAAACGCGGCGTTCCCCATATCTCTCGGCATCCACGTCCTTTCCCACGACCCGCATTACATTTTGCATACCGGATATATTATTTTAATTCAAACATATTTACGAAGAAAATGGGGAAGCGCGCTGTTACGCTAAACTAACCACTCGTTAAATGTAGGCTCAAGGTTGCCAGTGCGAAAACGCGGATGATAAAAGTATCATCAGCGTAACACTCTTCCCAGGCGCTCCAAATCTTTTTAAAATCAACTGAGTTATTGGTTTTTCGATGACGCTGGACACGTTTCTAATTAAAACCATTTTATTTTTACAGCTTAAAAAGATAATTAAAAACTTTGTTTTCCGACGTTTCGTTACAATTAGACAAATATACTATGTTTCCCTAGTCGCATGGCTCAGTCGTACAAACCGCATTAGTGTAAATATAAATTTAACAGAAAAACGTTCAGCCTTTCCACTCTCGTGAAGAAGGAAGACCAGCGGAGCTGTACTCGATACACTGTGTGCTTCTTCTTCGTCGTCTTCTGTTTTTCGCGTTGTTTCCTACGATGAATTTTCACCAACGCGCCCAACTATTCATTCTTCTATGATAGCTGGAAAGGTTGCCGCCATCTACGAGCGTCGGCGGAAACCATACTGGTTGTGTACTTGCCGCCGTCGCTTATAGACGGCGGTAGCTGTCCAGGTAGGTTTGTGTTGACATACACGGACACGATGCTGGGGAACCTAGCCCTTAACAGCTCCGCTGTAAAATAAAAAAAGAAGAAAAAAAAAAACTAGTAGGGCCTGAAAATTAAAATTCGTCTATAAAGAATGAATACAATATTGTTGCACGGGTGTGATTTTCCAAGAATATTGTATATACTCAGACTATAAATATAAGAATGCGCCAAATGAACCTTACCACGTACCAGGCAGGGCATCAAATCGCTCCGTTAAAGTAAATATCACGAATTATGCGACGTCAGGGCAACGTGCACCCTGAGTATAGCGGACTATTGGCGCATGGCGGAGGAACAGGAGAATTCCGTGAACGGATGTCGTGACGTCTACAGCCCGCGAAACTCCGTCCGCTGCAGTCGTACTAGAGTGTACTAGAAGGTACGAGTAGGACGAGCTACAGGCACCGCTCATGCTTTCAGTTGCACCTCAACATGTGGAAAACGATCAGGTGGAACCAGGCCACTTTGTTCGCTGCGCCACCTTCGCTGCGATCAAGCAACGACGCAGGTCAAGATCATATGGGAAATATAGCCCCTTAGGGGCTGTGGTGTATTTTTTATGATTTTGACTTCAGAGGTAGCGTCAAAGCACCACGACGCGACGACGTTACGCGACGCCAAGATGCTGTCATAAGGCCGTCGTGACATCACGTCGCGTCGAGGACGACGCCGTTTGGAAACATCAAGTCACCGTTGTAACACGGTCGTGACGTCACTTTGAGGACGACGCCGTTACGCGACATCAAGTCGCCGTTGTGACGCGGTCGTGACGTCGCGCGCCGCATCGAGGACGACGTGAACGTGGTCGTCGATGCCGATGTTGACGTCGACGCCCCACGCAACGTCAAACATCGCTATGACGCCACGTTAACGTCGTCCTGACGTCATCGTGAACGTCAACGTCATGACGAAGCCTCGACGGCGTTTAACGTCGTCGCCTTCGCCAGCATTAACGTCGACGCGCAGTCACAACGAAGTCTTGACGTCGTGTAACTTCGTCGACGACGGCATCGACGTCGTGAAGCTGTCGGGATGTCTTAGTGACGTCAAGTTGCGTCATGGCGACAACGACGTAAACGAACTGACACCAAGCGTCCTTATGACGTTGCATTGACAAGGACGCCGTCATCTTGACGTCCCTTGACGTTGTCGTCGTCGTCATCAACGTCAACGTACACATCGTCCTCGTTGTCAACACAATATGATGTCAGAACGCAGTCTTAACGTCGTGTAACGCACGTTTTCAACGTCGATGACGACGCTGACGTCAAGGTGTCGTCCTGATGTCGCATGGCGTTGTTACGACTAGTCAGGTCGCGATGACTTTATGTACGTGACGCCTGACGTTTAGGTTGTATAAAAATAAAGTCCGGCGTTCTATCGTTTCTATGACCTTGACCAGTGTGCCGGTCGAGCTTGGCGTTAGAACGAAACACGTTTTTCATAAAAAGCGGCTAACCCGAACCGCTTCGCTCGTAGCGCCCGAGAGAGCGCTACGAACGAAGTGGCTTGGATTAGCCGTTTTTTCTCACATGCGGAGGTACCAAAATAGCACTCCGGTGGCCCCACTCGTCCTTTCTAGTACACTCGAGTCATACGGACGGCGGGGAGTGCCGAGGAAGCGTGAGAGATATCAGTGTTACCAGACAAATTTAGCGGTAACACTCTACACAACAACGCGGCGGTATGCCGTTATGGCAGCAGCGCTGCTAGAAACGGACGACGATGACATTCTACCTGCTAAAAAAATATGATAAGTAAAAAAAAAAAAAATTTAGAAAAAAAAAACAAAAAAAAACTTGGCATACAGAACGTTATACGAAGAGCTTTTTCAAAGCGATGACACCTCGGAGTGTCGAAGACTCCTTTTGGTGTCTCATGACGTCTTCGTCGAACCACTGGCCCGCGTCCATCCGCGAATGCAGAAGCAGATAAGAAACATGAAGCGTCTTCTGAGGTTCTGACAGTGTTTTAAAGTCAGTAGCCGCAGAGCGCATATATGCATTGAACAAAGATGTCACTCACCCACTGTGTCGGCGAAAATTGCAGGTACCACGCCATCATTTTCCGGCGATTTGTTCCCATATCGAAGCCTTGATGTTTCCTTTCGAGTGGAGATCGCTGCTTGTGTCCCACAACGCTGGGAACTCCTCAACGAGGGAGATGAAAAAGAAAGTGGCGTCGTCATTTAACTTTGTCATTTCACGTGGGACTACAGCAACAGGAGCAACAGTAATGGTGTAAGCGATTCGGAAGCATTCCGAAGAGCCCGAAAAAAGCGCGGAGGCACTCGGTGGCCAGCTCCGCCTGCTCGCTAGGCGCATCGAGCAGCGCCACCTGCTCGCTGCGCCTAGCGGCAGAGAACCATCGCAAACTCGGTTGTCTGCAAACACGTCCGCAGTTGACCCTGGAACGTTTGTTTGTCTTATTTCTCGCAGAAAAGCTGCTATACGCCTTGAAATTTCACCAGGCAAACTCCACTACGTATATTCACATTCGGTGGTGGTTTGAGATTTTTATGTGCAGGCGCCAATTTTCAAGGCTCTTTTTGAAGCGAAGGGATTCATTGTGGGAACCCTATACTTCTTTTTTTTTTTTTGTATCCTTGATGGGCTTCATTATATGCGTGTACATTTATTTCAAACAAGGGCCCAGTGAGTCTAGAGCGCATTTTTTGAACCCAAAGGGCCGTGCGTGTGCCTTAGCCTGGGGTTCTTTCTTGCCGCCTCGCGCAGATCCGGGAGGACTGGAAGTACGTGGCCATGGTGATCGACCGGCTGCAGCTGTACATCTTCTTCGCCGTCACGACGGCCGGCACGATCGGCATTCTGCTGGACGCGCCACACATCTTCCAGTACGTGGACCAGGACAAGGTCATCGAGATCCACCGCGGCAAGCCCACGTGAGGCCCCCAGCGAGTAACCCACAAGCATCTATACGTAAACACAGGCCAGTATACTCAGCTGTACATACCTAGGTCTAGGCGGACTGCTCTTCCCTCGGGTGCCACCGTCTCGGGGCCAGCGGTGGGGCCCCCCGGGGGCCCCGCCCGGGGCCCCGCCAGCTGCGACTTTCGGGCCACCTCTCAAAGTATCTGGAAGTTGCCACTGTTTGCTCAAGACTGTGCCCCCTGCCGCCAGCGACATCCGCGGCCGGGCATCGGGAACGAGCCGCCGCCGCCGAAGCTGCCGCTCCTGCCCAAGGAGCACGCATGGGGCTCATGCAACCACAACTCTTTGTACCGTCGTCGTGAGGCCGCGGCGCGCGCGCGCTGCCCCAGCCGCGGCGCGCCCCGGTTGCCGTGGGGGCGGCCTCCGGAGGCGAGGCCCCCCACCCACCCAGCACGCCGCCCCCCGGCGTGGACGACAGCAAGCTCAACTAGAGTATGTTTGCATCCGTTTGGAAGACGAGTAAACATGTTTGTTCTCTCAGCGTCCCTTCTTTCACTGGGTGAGCCTAGGTTAAAGAGAGAGAACAACTCAAACCGGTGGACAGCGTTTGCAATTTAACGGTGGGCGTCTCCTTGCGCGGACTGGGTGCATGTGCACATGCGCGCGTTGTCAAGTGGCAAGGAGGATCCTAGAGTAGACAAGCCATATACTTTACTAGGGAATACACCTTACTTGGGGGATATCCCATGGCCTTTGCAATAAAGAGTTTGAGGAGATCGTTCCGACAATTCCGATAACCCCGATAACGGTGCCCGATAATAGCGAGTTTTAGTAGACCATGTTTTCCCCTCCGCTAAGCCCCTCCGCTACCCGGAACTCTACAGCCAATGCCATCGGCACGCAGTCGCAGTGGCGGTTTCTTCGTAGCGGAGGGTTAGGGAAGGGGGAAACACAGTCTATACTAAAACTCCCTAACGATACGACGCATGCACAAAGGCGGCGCGGAGTATCGGGTGTACTGGTATAGTTATAAAAGTTATCGGAACGATTTACTAAAACTCACAAATAACAGCTTTTGCGTAGTAGGGACTGCTGAACACAAACAGCCTTGGGGTTCTCCCTTTTGAATTTGGAGCGGCGGCTGCCGTCATCTATCGTCGTGGACAGCCTTCGATACCTGTCTTGGCAAATCCGGTATCCCGATACGTCACCGGCAGCCCCCTCCCTCACCGCAGCGCCAAAGCGCGATGCGCATGCGTTCTCCTGGAAGCTGGCTGTCCCCACCGCTAGGGGTGGATTTGAAGCTGTAGGCGCGCTTTCGAGCGCAAATAAGCCGAGTAGAATGTATCCCCCTGGTAAAGTATTTGGAGAAGCCGGGTAAAAGCTTGGAGACGCTGGCAGATGATCGACGTTTTCGCTTCCTCCTCGCAGCTTGTATTGCAAATGCGGCCCATACACCACATGACCCAAACCGAGAAGTTGGAAACACTCTTAAATCTAGGCACACCACCTTCGCTGCTCGCTCTGCGACGTGACACGAGGCACCCCGTTAGGTGCAGGGTGCCAGCGGCCCGCGGAAAATCCGGCCTTCTTTGCTGCCGATGAAAGGTAAGGTGCTCGTCGCGATGTTGTAGCGGCTCTTCAACGTGTTGCCGGCCCTTTCCGACGCAAGTGAAATCAGCGGCTTCCGTCCATCTGCTTCAGGTAACTGCCTCAAACACACGATTTGCAAACGGGAATGTTTTCAAAAGACAAGAGAGGAGGTAACGGTACTAAAGCGCAAAGTGCGTGACCGTTTTGCTGACAATGAAAAAACTGATAACGGAGGTTTCCGTTCTTCTTTCGCGGTAACGTTTCTACAATCACTGAGAAAGTGAGATCGGCAGGGCGTCCGGTTTGATAGCCCGGCCCCCAGCATGCACACGCTTACTTTCGTCGTGCTTGGGCTCTATGTACTGTACATGCTCAAATTCCCCCCCCCCCCCCCCCCCCCACACCAAAAAAAAAAAAAAAAACGCTGAAGCGTTATTGAAGGCGGGAAGCTCGCACTGGAGGTGGAACAATTGAAACTCCTCCCTGCTGTTTTCACCTTGTCAGTGACAATAGGCAGGATTCACTGGCGGCCATAGCTTTGCGCGCGAATGCTGAGCGGCTGCTGAAGGCGAGCTTCCGAAGTTCTTTTGCAACGTGGATTCCGCTCCATCAAGATTGCCGGTCATGACAGCCTATTATTGTGATCTCGTCCTGAGCATTCGCTCTAAACAGCGCCCTCAAATATGGCGTCCAGCGAATACCACATCTTTCCGGAATAAAAGGCTTCTGGCCGGTGCCATTTTCGGAGTGATGCGCGTCTGGCACGTGCTTCGCTCGCTTTCCAAAGCCACGAACACGAACGTGGCTATGGAGATCGGCTGTAAATTTGCAAACACTGGAATGGTGTATTGTGGTGTATGGTATCCCAGTGGCTGCTCTCTCTTTGTTCTATTGGCGGCGTGCGCGGCCAAAAGCGTAGCTGCGAATGGCCTTCCACAATTGGCCAAACGCTGGCTATGGCGTCTTAGCCTGCCCGTTTCGATCTTGATGAGCATCGTACCGGCGTGCGGTCGTGTATCACTACTGCGTGGTGCACGTTAAAGACCCCAGGTTGTACTGCACTGCCTAAATTGCTCATCTACAGTTGGGAGACTCGTCGCCCGTTGAGGCAGACCAAGTTCTAGGCTGTATAAACATACACACAACCCAATTTTAGGCAGGATTATTTCAGCTCTTATCGGCAGAAATAAGAGCAAAGTCGGGCTCAACTCCGACGGCGTTGATTTAGGGACGTCGTGACTAGGCTTCCACCGCGTTCTTTACGAAACATCGAACTTGTCGCTCGCTTCTAATAATATTGATCGCGACGTCAGTGGCAGGAATCACAAGGCCACACAACCGGAACATCTGGTCACCAATAGTAACTTACGTAATGAGACCCACAGAAAAGAGTTTAGGTTGTCCCGCCTCTAGCACAAGTGACCCACCTTCGGCAACTCTTCGGCGTCTCGTGAGCCAGCCTCAAGCGTGCACACGCATCCGAAGCATGACGGAAGGCAACAGTCGCGTGCTGGAGTCTGGGCGTTCCAAAGAGAGGCTTTGTCGTTCCCATCTTGTCAGTGACTATTTAGTTATTCAGTGCTCAGAACAAGACACGTGACGCCCTTACATAGTTAATGTTACCCAGAATCAACATCACTGTATATACGCATTCTAACAAAGAGGGTGTAGCCATTACACCACTTGTGACGTAAAAGACACCCAAAAACTTCAGTTCGGCGTACAGCGCACTGATATCGAACTGACGTCCCCAACTTTTATGAGAGGCTTGATGACGGTGTGACGTAAAATACTGAACAACTAAAGTACGTATAAAAGACTACAAAAAGAAAAACACTTAGGCTTTGCAGTAAGGCCAAGAAAACACCGATTACTTTTTGTAGTCAGTCACACGTACATTATATACTCTACTAAGTTGTAAAACTCCGCAATCAAGCCGCTCGTGAAAGTTGGTACCGTCGGTTCAACGACAGTGCGCTGTACGTCAAACTGAAGTTTTGGGGTGTATTTATGTCACAAGGGGTGTAAAATTACACCCTGTTTTTCTGTGGGCGGGGAGATTGTTTTATTCTACACCATTATCTAACAAAAGGGGGTGACCCTTACCAGGCTCACACCGTCTTTGGTTTGTGTTTATCGGGCTCGGTGGTCTTTGGATAGAAGATAACGGCTTCGATTAGTGTGCGAATTAACTATAAGTCCTGAAAATTGATTTTAACTTGTTTCATAGTTCACGTTGCCCTTGCAGTTGTGAAGGTGGTCATATTAAAAGTTAAACTAATTTTTGGAATATCTAAAATAAATAAAAAAAGGCTTTGGGATTTTTTGTTTTCTCATCTACCACAACTGGATGCAGAAGGAGCGCCAAAAACTCTCTACAGCGATACAGTGAAGAGTGCCACGCTCGTGACAAGCCCGTTGTCGTTATCTCGGTAGCGTAGTGTGTCATAGGTGGGAGCACCAAGGAAAGACTTCGGGGTAACGACAACGAGCCCCTTATGAGTCGTACGTCACTCTTCAACGCCTTATTGTGAGGGGAGCTTACGGCGCTCATTCCAAATATTGAACTAGTGCATCTCACCCCGCAAAAATCCAATAACCTGGGCGCAGAGAGATTTCGCGGAGTAAGATCGGCTGGACGAGCGCAGCGTCTGGGTTTTGAATTGAGAGGACTGACTGTCGTCACCTATCGTCGTGGACAGCCTTCGAGACAGCGGTGGCAGCCGTCTCTGCTGTCCTGGCCAATCCGGTATCTCGGTGCGTTGGCGGAAGCCCCCTTTGTCGGTGCAGCGCTAAAATGCGTCAGGGCGGACAGCGTGATACGCAAAGATTCTTTTGGAAGCGACATGTCCCCACTACTACTTTCACGAGATAGGCGCGCTATCTCGTGAAAATAAGTGGAGTAGAATGTATTCCTCTAAACTCACTATCAGGTAAAGAATATAAAATAAATTAAGTTTCATACGATGCCTGAAGTAGTTTTTACAAGATTCGGTTGTCCGGGAAATAAAAGATGTTTTTGTCGTTGGAAACCTGTACCTTCTGATAAAATAACAAATAATTTAACTTAAATGTTCATATAAAAACCTTAATTCGCCGCATAAAGAGCGAAGTTAGTAATGCTCCACAAAAAGACAAAAAAAAAACACGTCTTTGTTTGTTTTTTTCGTTCTTTTTAGGGTTTTGAGGTGACTACGAGTGTAGTAATGTACTTGCTCATTCTGTGCCTAGTTTTGAAACTGGAAGAAAGAAAAACGTGAACAATGATTCACGAAGATCTTGAAGCCCGTGGCCTTTTTGCAGTTTCTATAAACTGGTTTACTGGTTTACCCTCTTAAAAGGACTGCCTTCAAAACTGCAATTTCAACTTGTTTTTTTTTTCTTTCACCCCCTCCCCCCGATAAAACAAGTTTTAAAACGTTAATTAGCTCATTTTATGCCATTGCTCAACTACACTCCGTTTAAGCTGAGACTAGAAGCTCCGCCTTCTGCGAGAGCTCGCTGCCTTCCGCAGTGCTTTGGATGCGCGTGCCTGGGCGTTCCCACTTGTGTTAGCAAGGGCAGAAAGCTCGCGCTGAAGGCGCAGCTTCTAGTATCATGATGCTTGTTTCCCCATCTAATGTCTACCGAGATTTCTACACATGCTGTGAACTTGGTGTCCACACGAAGGTAATTCACTTCTTTAAACGTTTTGTATCCCTTAAAAACGATCCTGTACCCAGAATAGCAGCTTCATAATCTGAATCTGGCCGATTTACTTTTTTTCGACCGCGGTATACCAAGGCGTTCATTACGATATCTATACCATACCATCCAAATTCGGAGTCCCAGGTTAATAGATCCTGGTAAAGAACGCTAAAAACCCAACAGACAGCTACAGGAAGCACTTCACCCGACCTCATATTGCCCCGGGCAGCTCGCCAGAGAAACGCTGAACTTGGCCCAAGTT